GTTGAAATCCTTGCAACCAACATAATCTTGGTTCAACTAATCAAACCTTACAACTTGTATAAACATAGAATGAAGTATGTACACCACTTGACTTAATGCATCGGATACTTGGTTCTGGACACCAACTGTATGCTTAATCATAAAAGTTATATTCTACTAAAAATTCAGCCCATTTCTAATGTCAACTATTAAGATGCTTCTAAGATTTGAGATATCTGAGTGCTTCATGATCTGAAAACAAAACAAACTCTTAGGAAATTAAATTATGACGCTAATGTTGGAGACATTGCACAACAACATAGAATTCCTTGTCATATATGGAGTAATTTTGTCTAGCTTCACTAAGCTTTCATTATGAAAAGCTATACGATGCCCTTCTTGAATAAGCACACCACTTATTTCAACTTGGGAAGCATCACAAAAACCTCAAAGATTTTAGAAAAGTTTTGCAATTGTAACACCGTGGTCTCAATCATCCTTTCCTCGATAGTCTTAAAGGCTTTAGTTGCAGCCTTAAACCAAACAAAGTCCCCCCTTTTTCATAGCTTCTGTAATTGGTGTCATAATAGTGCTAAAATTCCTTATGAAACACTTTTAAAAAGTAGTCAATCCATGAAAACTTTTTACTTAATGGATGCTACTGGGGTGGGCCAATTAGGTATAGCTTTTACTTTGTCAAGATCAACATTGACACCTCCAAAGGATATAACAAATCCTAAAAAGACAATAGTATGTGTCATAGAGGAGCACTTCTTTAAGTTAATGTAGAGCTTTTCTTGGCATAAGACTCTCGTCACTTGACATAGTTAAGATAATCATCAAGAGTATGGATGTATATAAAAATGTCATAAAAATAAACAACCAAGAAACGACCAATAAAAGGATGAAGTACCTAAGACATAAATCTCATATGAAAGTGTTGGGACATTAGTTTAAGCCATAAGTCTCATATGAAAGGCATAACCATCCACTCATAGAGGTCATCTTTTTCCTTAAAAGCAACCTTCCACTCATCTTTAGGTCAAATCCTAATTTGGTGATATCTGCTCCTAAGATCAATCTTAAAAAAAAAAGAAATTGTAGATCTAGTCATCATATCCAACATGTCAACTAAGCATGGAATAGGTAACTAGTATTTGATTGTAACCTTATTGATTGTTTTTCTATCAATACACATCCTTCATGATCCATCTTTTTTGGGAGTGAATAAAGTAGGTATGACACATGAGCTCAAACCCTCTCTAAGGAAGCCTTTTTCAATAGATCATCTACTTGCCTCTTCAATTCAACATGTTCTATGGGATTCATTTGGTATGTAGGAAAATTAGGTAATTGGGACCTAGGAATCAAATCTATTGCATGTTGGACATCATGCATAGGTGGTAATTCATCAAGCAACTCTCTTGGGATCAAATATGAGAAATCAGCTAACAAGTTTCCAACCTCCTTAAGCACCTCTAACATAGGGTCAGGTTCTGGTTTGTTCACTTCTTTCACTATTAGGGCATAAACAAGGCTTGATTCTTTGCCCTCCTCCTCAAATTGCTTCTTGGATAGCAAGAGAGGTTGCTCCTTTTGCTCAACTATTTGTTTATAGTGTGGAGTTGCCTTTTGAGGGATCTTAGTTCACTTCTTAATCTCATCAAATGGCATAGGTTTTATAACAATTCTCATTCTATTAAATAGAAAGTAATATAAAGCCATAGTTGGTCTAATAGAATATGTTTAACATTCATAAGAACAACATTATACTATATACCATCATCATAAGACCCAACAAGAGCTCTTTGTTCTACATGAAGAACTATCTTGTTTAACCAAGCAATCTTGTATGGTTGAGGATGAGGTTTTACAATTAAATTGAGCCTTTCAGCAATTACTGTAGAAACCACATTCATGTTGCTACTACCATCAATTGTTAGATTGTAGAGCTTGTTCCACTCTTAACAAAGGTGAGGAAGATTTTTGTACGAAGCCAATCTTCTTTTTTCTCTTCTTTAGAGGTTGCTAAAATACATCTAACAACTCCAACAAAATTGTTGTCATCTTTTTCTTCATATGTTCAGATCCAGTGTACTCTTCTTCACCAAGGCCTCTATCATCTTCCACTTATCCTTCTCATGTCCTATGTGTAGATTTTGTTGGGGCATTTAAATGCATAAATTTCCTTTCCACCACACTTAAAACAAGTATTTTCTATTGTTCCCCTTTTTATTAGCATCAAACCTGTCATTCATCCCTTTGTTGTTAGCTCTTTGATAAGGTTTGGATCCATTAGGCCTTGTTGGAACAATATTATGAGATATGGATCTAGTGGCTCTACCCTTATCTAGACTGGTTTGGATCCTTGATAAGGTTAGCCTTCCTAGCTTGAATACCAAACCTTGTACTATTTACTTGCCTTAAGATCTTCTCTATTTTAATATCCATCTGACTTTCTATAGACTAACATCTAATAGTGAGATTATCAAACTTTTGCATGTACTCAACAACAGATAAACTGCCTTGCCTTAATGTCATCATTTCTCATCATGGAAGTCATTGGGTAGACATTTTTCTTCCAAGTAATGCTTCATGTCTTCATAATGGGTGATAGGACGTTTTCCCATATTCTATAATCTTTTCTCCATACTCATCCACCATACTTTTTCATAGTCTACATGTTTAAGTCTAGCACTAACCCGTCTCTCATCTGGCATATCAAACCAATCAAAGTATTTCTCTAATTCTACCAACCAATTGGAGAAAGTTCATTGATTGATATCACCTTTAAGACTAGGAACTTCTATTTTCACTTTGATAATAATATCATTTTGATAATCATCTATATTAGTCTTAGAATGCTCCACCAACCCATCATATAAATCATTTAAAGTACCTTGAGTTTGTAGAGTCTGAAACCTTAGGAGCTTGATGGCAGTCCTTAGTGTGTGGTTTACATGTGGACCAACAGGGTTATTGGTCTTAGAACCCTTTGCTTCGTCTCCTCCATGTATAACACCAATGTTGTTTTTACCATGGTAATCTTCCTCTCATGTTTCTACCATGATTATGGGCCATCAAAAACATAATGCTTTGATACCAAAACTAATGCAGTAGACAATCAAGGGACAAAAAGAGAGAGATAGAGGAGGGTAGAGAAAGAGGTAAGAGAGAGAAATCCCAATGAATTACTCTAAGGGCCCTAGAATCACTCTAGGGTTTATAGGAATTACTCCATGCAACAAACTTGCAATGAGAATAAAGAAATCTTCATTAGCTTCAAAAGGAAATATTGTTTATTATAATTACAAAAATACCACTTCTTGTCTTATTCATCAAGAAACAACAATAACTTTCCACCTACTAATGCAAATAAGCTAAAAATTGAAAAATAAACCCTACTAAACTAGAAGGACAAGATGCTATGGCCTAAGCCCACATGGGGCTGGTCAAAATGATGAAAATGCCTTTGACCATATCAGTCCAAGTCCCAAGAGTCTTCCCTATTGCCAAATCGGAACTTGTTTTGTTGGCCTTCTTAAGAGAATAGGTCTTATAATGCCTGGACTGATCCCCATCATTTGGGTATTACCAGAATACTAGGTTGTACTCTTTCTGCCTCCTCTGCATCTTCTAAGGAGATTGTCGTGTTTGGCCGGTTAAATCATAATTCACAAGGACTTGTTAGAACCCAAAGAAGTTCTAAAAATCATAAGAACGATGAAAAATCTTGAATCAGTTATGAACGCCTTAGAAAGGATCTCTGAGTGTATAGACTATAAGCTCAATGGGGCTCTTTACACTCTGGGCATTGAGAAGCTCACCCAATGAAAGAAATTTGATGCCATTGATGATGTCATGAAGAGGATAAAAACTGAAAAGAATTGCAGGCGCTCTCATGGTTTCTTCTATGGTGTGATCAAAATTTATGGAACATGGCCAGGATTTTGAATAAAGTAATAGAGACCTTCAGTATGCCGGAGTTCAATTGTTGGCTAGAGGTTAGGACCTTCATTTTAGTGCTTAACATGCTTTTCTCAGCCAAACGGTTTGATGTGGTTCGTCAGGTGTAGTTAGGTGCTTCTTGATTGGGTGTTGCCTTAACATTCTCATCAAAGGTTTGTGTGAATGTGCTAAATTATTGGACGCAGCCTCTGCCTTGCTTGATGAGTTTCCCAAACAGGACTTGAGGCCTAATGTTAAGACATACTCAACTTTGATGCACTATCTGTCTGAGCATGGTAGAGTGGATGAAGCATTTCGGGCTGAATGAGAGAATGGACACAGAGGGTTGGCCTTCCTGATACAATTACATTCAATATACTAATTCAGGAGCCTTGTTTTTGGTATAGATAGAATGAGATTAAAGGATGCTACTCCAATTCAGAGTCCTATCAACAGGTTCTGTATGGCCTACTCAGTTCTGGGAAGTTTGTGGACCCCAAGCGTTTCATAGAATGGATGGTTTCCAAGGTGCGTTTCCATGTTTTCATTCCTGTAAGTTGGTGCCTCTGGGGCTCCTTCAAGAGGGTTTGCAACTTTGTACCAAGGATGTGCATGTGGAAAAAGATTCTTAAGAGCATGTTTCAAGGGATGAACAGTTAGGGTTGCATTTCTTACTCTGAAATTATTTGAGCAGGCTCACAACAAAAGGATATATGCTCTGGTGACTTGGCAGCTGGATGGATCCTGGATAGAAATGTTTCGACAGGAAATTCAAGAGAACGTTCTTGGATGAGTGGAAAAGCCTGGGAACTCAAGAAATGCATATAAAGCATAAGATTTGTGGAGTCATATTCCACCCGTTTCAGGTTTATGTCACAGTAGTCATACTGCTTGTCCATGACCTTGGATATAGTCATTGAACAGTGAGCTAAATACAGCTTTCTTTGTTGAACTAGGTTCCTATTGGGTTCTCAGCCAGCATGTACTATGGCTCTTTTTCCTTGGACTTGCGTGAACAAATGGTGACGAGTAGAAGCAATTTTTCAACAAGAAAAAAGAAATTAAAGGCTTAGTTTTACAAAATTGATCTCAATGGCAGTATTCCTCAATATTACAAATGTACATACAAGAACCCAAGTATATTCCCAGAAATCAACAAATCCTAACAAATATGAGACAATATTCACCATGTTCAGTTCTGAGTTTCTATGTGAAGTGAAAATACAATTTAAACAAGAGAAGTTGAAGCAGCGCAGACAAAACCCAACCAATAAATGCTTTGCCATCATATTCTTCTTTAGTTTTTTGATTAACTGAAGGTAATTTTAAGTAATTATTAACTTTCCAAGAAAATCCTATTGCTGTTCTGTGGCTAAATACTCCTCTGTGAGCTTTGTGCCCAAGGGTTCTCCTTCACCATGTACATCAGTGCACACAATATTGCTTTGTGTTGCCACACCTCTGGAAGCCTCCTCCATATTCTTTGAAGAATCATACAAGCTCGTCTGGACATTTTGTTCCTCGGACTTGGGGGATTCTGTGACATGCTTATTTATCAGAGGAGAGTCAATTGGGATCCCCTTCACAACTTGAGTGAAACCCTTTGATGAGGATACAGATTCCCCATCAGATGAGTCGACTACCCAAGGGTTCTCAGTTGAGGGTGACGATGTGCCCTTTTCAGTTGATGCTAATAAAGAATCCCCCTTAGACTTGCTTGAACCTTTTCTTGAAAGTGCATGTTTCAGGCCATGAGCAGACCTTCCAGCATGCTTCAGAATGCTCTTTGCCATGCCTTTAATGTTTCCCTTGTCTGGACTTTCTGGACCATTCTTCTCGGGGCTGAAGTTCACCCCTTCTGCTTTTGGGTCTTGGACAGCTGCAGTACAAATATTATCATCAACTATAAACATCAAAGCTGTTGTCTTCTCATTCACTGCTTGGCTGTTGACACTTTGTGAGGGAATTGTTTCTTTGATGTCAACAGGATCTTCTGTTTTAGGGCTTCTGTGAAATGCTGAACCAATTTTCTGCAGGCTCTTCCTAAATTTGTTAAGCGGATTTTGTTTTTTTCCCTCTAGATTCTCATCATTGCTGCTATCATCATCAATGGATAAACCTGCTCCTGACTGCAAGCTGTCAATGAAGAGATTACCCTCTCCATATATTAGGGTATCAGCTTGTCTACCCTTTCCTTTTCTGGGCTCCCAAGTTCGTGAAACATCACTTCCTGGGTGATGAACCCATACTCCTGTATGCTTTTGTCCTTCAATGTCAATGGGTTCAAATTTATCTGCCACTTTTGGGTTCTGTTCCAATATTAGAGTTGAATCGGAGCTTTCCTCAGCAGTTACACTTGGCTCTAGGTTCATATCCTCTCTCTTGGTTGATGATTCCTCCTTGCATAGAATTTCTTCCATCTGCGCAAATTTTGCCTGAAATTAGGAAAACTCTCAGGTGTTCTGTTTTCATTTTTGTCACATAGATCATAAAAGATATACCTCATTATTAGCATCAAGTACAGTTACTGCTAGATGCACCCTTCCCGTTTTAATGTTCTGAAGTGGTAACCACATGTCATGCCTCTGCCCTCCTCTTAGATCAGTAATGTTTATGGAACAGTCCCTGCAGACAGTCTTATGTCAGATGATTTGAGAATTCACAAAACCCATTCAATACACAAATTCCAGCATACCAGATGTTCTCAGATAGTGATAGAGAGATCAGATAGGGGGAAAGTTAAATCTACTTTAATTACATAACTACATATCTACATACACGCGCAAAGAGAGGAAACTGGGGATTAAGAGGCAGACCCAAGGTTATCATCAAACAAGTGATCTTTGTCACGAACTTCAAGAATTAGTACATTAGGTGACTCCCATGTACAAATGGGTATCTTGAATTCCTCCTGCCACTTTGGAGCAAGAGTTTTCTTCTGAATTTTTGTCTGGAATCTGTAAGGACCAAGCTGCCCTTTCACATATGGATCAGACAATCCTGAAAGATATAGATCAAGTCAAAATCTATGTTTTGTATAATATGAATCATCATCATCCAAGCCTTATTCCAACTATATTGGATTGGGTACACGAATCCTGTTTCACCACTCTGTTCTATTTAATGCCAATAAATAACAACAACAACAAAAACAGCAAATGCTCTTGTTAGGAACTAAGTAAATAAGTTGGCTAGTAAAACTAACCATTTAGATCAGAAGGTTTCATGTCAGCTCCTTCCACAATTTCCACTTTTGCATAAGCAATAGCTTCTTTCCCACGTACAGAAAACCAAGCATCTGAAAATTTATAAGCATTAAATATTAGAAATTGTTTTTAACTCCTGAATCTTTTAGAAAGAAGCAACAAAAGAAATACATGCTCATAACTATCTATGCCATCTTCAGCTTCCCTACAGAAATCTGTGACAAGGACAAAAATCATGACCAAAAGAATAAATGATAGCTAACAAATCCATACACAAACCATATGATAATATCTAATGGTCACCATTAAGTAGTTGTGTTCAGTTATAAAATGGATATAATGTTTTGGGTGTAGAGGCAATATACTATGAAGTTATACATCTAGTACATGTAAAAATAAGAAGATTCTTAAATACTAAAAAAATCATATTTTTGAAAAACCAAGCTCAAATCTGATGACATGTGGTAACACTCCCACAGAACATTTTCTGGTGTTACTGAAAGCAGAAAATAGTTTCCTAGAACATTACTAGATGCCACAGAAGCTCCCACCAGAAAACCCTTTTTACCACATAATGTTATTATGATCTGGGGAATGATTGCTCCTTCAATGTGATGATAAATGGAGAAAAAAAAAATCCTATATTTGACTCATTATTCTTCCTGCTCAGACTTAGTTGAAATCTTTATTTCATTCTAATTAGATGTTACAGAGAAGTTGCAAGCAATTTTAGTTTTGCGACCTCCCACTTTGCTACAAATTATTAGCAGTTCTACCTTTATAGCATTGTGTAAACAACACTATCAATCCCAACCATTAGTTCATATCTCATGGATACTTGCCACCACATCATGCCATAGTTTGTTGGTAACCAAATAGAAATTCCCAGACGTTTGCCCAACAAAGCTGAGTTTCTTAACCCCAAATTTCCCAGTTCCAAGTTCCAATTGCTGATAAAAAAAAAAAATCCCATTTCCAATCCCCCTTTCTCCTTTTATATATTGTCTCCCAACTTATAAAATAGTCCCTTTTTGAATCCCCTAGCTCCACCAATATATCTCTTAGGATCTTTAATTTTTTGTAATCAATGCAGTTAATCTAAAAGCAAAGAGATAGTATTAGGAAGGTTAGCATAGTTCCTCTTCCAAGTAGCTAAGTTCCTAATGAACCTATTGACCAAATCCCAAAAGTTGCAATATCTAGGGTTTCCACCTAGTGGAAGAGCTAAGTATCTCAAATGTCAACAAAACAAAAATCCAGCCAACATAGAAACATATTCTAACCCTTCCCCAAAATTAACTCTACAACACAACTCTTGTTGAAATTAATTTTCTAATTTGAGATTTTTCTTGATCAGTATTCAAATTTGATATTTTCAAAAGCATTTTATAGTTGTATATTGTTTGTCCCTCCCTCATGTCTTCACAAAAAATAAAAGAAAAACATAATATATAGTAAACAAATTCTTGTGTAGTTCTTGTCTCATACCTAGCACTTATGAAACCTTTGATGAAACCATGATAATGCACCTTGAAGATTAATCTACTGAAGACATCGACAATGAGAATAAAGAGAAAAGGGATCTCCTTGTCTCAAACCTTGCTTAGCTGGGAAAAGTTTGACGTTTCATCAGCAAGCCCAGGAATGTGGAAAAGGATAGACAAACAGAAAGATAGGAATATAGAACAATTGATTCTAGGGCTTTGATGCAATGGGGAGATGAGGAAGGTTAGGTATCTGAAGGGAGTCTAGAAGATGGTCAAATCATAATCAAAGAAATTGATCCATCTAACAATACTCTACATAAAAGAGCTCCTTTAATCTCCCAAATACCAATTTACATATGTATCTATCGGAAATAGGTAGAAAACTAGGTCTTCTATTCTTTGGGGGGGGGGATGATGTTAAGAAGCTGTCAGTTTTTTTTTTTTCTTCGGAAAATTTGGAAGATAGGAAAGGACATGAGAAGGGGCATGATTAGAGGATTTCTGGTATCCACATAATACTGGGAACTAAATAGCCTTCAAAGAGGGTTGTACATTGACTTTCTTAGATAGTTGTTATTTCTTGGGATTTTAGGGGTTGGGAAGTAGGAAAAAAAGATTACAGGTTTGTGATTTTTGTAGACTAAATGGCTTTACCTTTGTATGAGTCGGCTAGGGTATTCTTACTATGGGACTCTAGTCTTTAAGAAAATTGATTGAGAATTGGGAGCCTTCTCAGTTTCTACTCACCTCATTGAGTCATTTTCAGTGGATTGTTACATTTTAGGTTCATTCTAAAGGGTTCAATTTGAGGAGTTTGATGACATTTAAGGAAGATAGGAAGCTCTTGGGTCATCAGAGGAGACAGAATCTCATCTGGATGTTTGCATTCTTTGATTTAATCCATAGGAGTGAATCAGTTGAACCTACCATGTGAGGGAAAGAGTTAATTAAGCTTTTAACATAAACAGATTTGTCATGGTATAACGTGTTAAAATATACCAGTTTACATGTTTTAGAAGTGTAAGTTCTATAAACTATAAAGTGCCTGTGCTCCAGTGCTATTTTGGTATGCGTTGTGTCCAACAACTGGTACTCTAGGCATGTACGAGTATCTGAGTGTCATAATATAGATGTCTCACAATCCAAGGCCTTTCAAGATTGAAAACAAGTGGCTGTTGGAGGAAAATTTCATGTCAATGGTTGAAGAAAAGTAAGGCTCCTTCCCATCTCTGGGCTGGGTTGGAAAAGATGTTAACAACAAATTAAGAATGCTAAAATCTTTCCTTAAGGAGTGGAACAAAGAATTTCTCAGAGATATAAATAGTAGAAAATACATGTGGAAGAGGAAACTAAACAGCTTGAATGAAACTATGAAAGTACATCTCTCTCTCTCTCTCTCAATCAGAAAGGAACAGGCTTCTTCAACTAAAAGAGTAATGATCTAAATTTGCTTAATTGAGGAAGCCTCCTGGATACATATTGTAAGACTATAGACATTTCTATTACTGCAGAATTGCCAAAACATATTGCAAATCCCAACCCTGTGCATGTGAATACTGCAAGTAGATGTTCTCAAGACTTTCAAAGCCTGCAGGATCCCAGTGTTTTATGCATGACAACCTCAATGATCTCAATAAGCTCCAATTTTGACATGTGGCGAGATCATGTGAGAGATGAGGAAAACCACAGGCCAATACCCGGTCCCCTCACCGACATTCTTGTCCATAAACTGCCCATGTTGAGTTGTCATTACTAACTTGGGAATTTTTTTCCAAAAAGAATATTTTAGAACTCTGTCCGAGGTTCATGGCCATCTTTCCTACAAATAGGGAACCCAACTTAACCCCCAAGCTTCTAGAGTAGACATCTTTGTCTGACTTTCAAAAATTCACAAACCATTGCCACCCCATCCTCTCACACATATATGAAGGATGAATTTATTTGAAGGAAGCAAAAATTCTGCATTTTCATGGGTGTATGATAATTTTAGAGGGAGTTCAACTTTATAGTTAAGATGAAAGTAGAGCACTCCTAAATTGAAAACCCAAGTGAGGTAAGACAAATGAATGAAAGTTACTTTTTAAATCTCTTTACACCCAGCAATGGTGTAGTTATTTTGGTATGCAGGGATGAGGAAAGCCATCTGGGTTAGAGTTTTTGGGTTCCCAATCCACCTTTGGAGTACCAAGTTAGTGGAGAAAATTGGAGATTTGTGTGGAAGTTGCCTAGAGATGGATGACTCCAGCAAAGCTAAAGTAACGGTAGAATGGATTAGGATTAGAGTAAAATGGCAAGGTTACCCTCTGACTACCATTAGAGTTGTTGTCAGAGTTGTTTATTTTGTTATTTTACAGTTGTTGGTAGCATGCTGTCAGCCAGTGTCTTTTATTTCCTTATTCGTTATATTGAGTTAATATAAATGATAAGCTGGGTACCACCAGCTATAGTTTTGATTCCCAATCTCTCTCTCTCTCTCTCTCTCTCCCTTCTCTTTCCCTCTCCTCTCTGTTCTCTTCTCTCGTCTCTATCCAGAAAAAATTACATGGTATCAGAGCGAGGTTCTGGGCGAAAAAGAATCTTTCTCATTTTTTTTTTCGTTTCTCTCTCTTGATCTCTTGGACGTGTGGAGGACAAAGAAACCTAATCGGACTGATCAGGCCACTTGCCACTGCTTTCTTTGGGATCCTCCTTGGTCGTAACACCAAGGAAGCCCTAGTAGAAGAAGGGCAATGCTGTAAACACCACTCTTCTCCTTGTTCGATGCTGTGAAGGTTGTTCGATGCAGTGAGGATTGGTTTCTGGGTTTAAACCTTCGAACAGGTGCTGGACAGGGGTATGTATTCCCTTTTTTTCTCTGTGGCCAATGCAGTGAAGGCCTTGGTTTTTTTATTTACACCTTCGTACAGGTGTTAGACAGGAATATGGTGTTATTTGTTTTATCAGACAGGAGTATGTGCTGTAGTTGAACTGTGACTGATTACTGGGTTGTTCTAATGGCTGAACCATTACTGGACTGATTACTGGTTGCTATAGTGGAATTAGACAAATTACTGGGCTGTTCTAATGGCGGAACTATTGCTGGACTGATTTCAGCAGTGTTTTTTTTTCTCTCATTCCAGAAGTAGAATTCTTGGGGGTTTAGCATTCTGATTGTGTGGGATCAGGTCTGGTACACGTGATTCTGTTTTTTTGTAGTGTAGACCCTCTCCCTCAATGGCAAACTATGATCCAGCATCATCTGGGGTTACACCAACCCATAGCACAGCTGGTATGGGTGGTGAAAACTTGATGTTTCCCATGCCAATTACCCCTCTAAATGGCCTAAACTACCTGGAGTGGGCTAAAAGTGTGAAACTCTATGTAACAGCAAGGGGAAAAGCTGGTTACATAAATGGAAGAGTGAAAGAACCCAAGTGTGAGACAACTGAACATGATAGGTGGGACCAAGAAAACAGTATGGTGATGTCTTGGCTCCTTGCAGCCATGGAACCCGATGTGAAGAAGAACTTTATGTGGGCAGACACCGCTAGTGAGATTTGGGAACAGGCCAAAACCACCTATTCTGAGCAAAGGCATTATGCCAAGATTTACCAGTTGCAAGCTGA